CCCTCACCACCACCTGTAAGACAGGCCAGAAGGTGGGCGTGTTTTTAGTCCCAGATGTGTTTGTGATTGACAAGCTGAACGTGTTTGGGTTGAAACAGACTGGAACCCAGGCTAGGCATACACTCAGCGGCCAGTTTACACCACCCCGTTCACGAAAATGGTTTGCTCCTACAGACAGTGAGTAACGTGGCTGTGGCCTGCTATATAGAGCAGACAGGCATCGAGGCATTCAGTTACTGTTCAATTGGAAGTTAGAATGGGCAGAACAAGTGACCTAAGAGACTTTGAGCGTGGTATGATCGTCGGTGCCAGGCGGACTGGTTCCAGTATCTCAGAAACGGCCTCCTGGGCTTGTTTTTCACACACGCCAGTGTCTAGGGTTTACTGAGAATGGTGCGACAAACAAAAAAACATCCGGTCAGCGGCAGTCCTGTTGCCAAAAAACAGCTCTTTGATGAGATGTCGAAGGAGAATGGCAAGAATGGTGCAAGCTAAAAGGAGGGCCACGAACAGGCAAATAACGATGTTTTCCTGGCACACGTTAGGTCCCTTGATACCAATTGAGCAACCTTCCATGCCCCGAAGAAGTCTGGCTTTTCTGGAGGCAAAGGGGGGTCCGACCCGGTACTATATGAGTGTACCCTATAAACTGGCCACTGAGTGTATGTGTCTTTCTATAAATAATGGGGCAAATGTCTGACATTGGGAGAAACATTTCTAAATGCTTTGAAACTAAAATAAAAATGATTTTCATGCAGTTCCACGTGTGAACTCAGAGGAATATTGTCCCATAACCACCTATAGAACAACACAGCCCTAGGACTAGACATCCTTTAAGCACGGCTCATACACACATTGGCAAGTCAAATTCAAGGACTTTCAGGCACTTTTTCAAGCACTTCATTGTAATTTTCAAGGACCTCCAATGTTATACAATTGTATAATTTATATAACTACATAGAGGGCCTAATATAGAATCATGCAAAAAGTGTAGAAAAAAAGTATGTCATTATCACTTTAAGAATAATGACTTTTTTTGGCCTTGCCAATCCATTGATATTGAAATTATTATTACATTCTAAAATATGTGAGAATAATGTGGACATTGGCTGAATAAATAGATTGGATGCATGGTGATTGTTCTGTAGCCAATGTCAAATCAAATGCATTTATAAAGCCCTTTTTACATCAGCAGATGTCACAAAGTGCTTAAACAACAACCCAGCCTAAAACCCCAAACAGCAAGCAATGCAGATGTAGGGGCACAATAAAGCCATGTAGCTTGAATCTCACCATCGCTGTTTTATTATAATGAGAAAGTGACCAAAAACCAGGTTCCTTTTTTAATGGAAGGATTTGTATGGAAAGCCAAGTTGAAGCCAACAGACGTTTTCGTCCTCAGAATAACCATATGGTTTTACCGCCACAGAGTAGCTCAACGCCCTTCAACAGAGTAGCTCAACGCCCTTCAACAGAGTAGCTCAACGCCCTTCAACAGAGTAGCTCAACGCCCTTCAACAGAGTAGCTCAACGCCCTTCAACAGAGTAGCTCAACGCCCTTCAACAGAGTAGCTCAACAGAGTAGCTCAACGCCCTTCAACAGAGTAGCTCAACAGAGTAGCTCAACGCCCTTCAACAGAGTAGCTCAACAGAGTAGCTCAACGCCCTTCAAACCGAGTAGCTCAACGCCCTTCAACAAAAGGGAGCTCAACAGAGTAGCTCAATGCCCTTCAACAGAGTAGCTCAACGCCCTTCAACAGAGTAGCTCAACGCCCTTCAACCGAGTAGCTCAACGCCCTTCAACAGAGTAGCTCAACAGAGTAGCTCAACGCCCTTCAACAGAGTAGCTCAACGCCCTTCAACAGAGTAGCTCAACGCCCTTCAACAGAGTAGCTCAACTCCCTTCAACAGAGTAGCTCAAGAGTAGCTCAACGCCCTTCAACAGAGTAGCTCAACAGAGTAGCTCAACGCCCTTCAACCGAGTAGCTCAACGCCCTTCAACCGAGTAGCTCAACGCCCTTCAACAGAGTAGCTCAACAGAGTAGCTCAACGCCCTTCAACCGAGTAGCTCAACGCCCTTCAACAGAGTAGCTCAACGCCCTTCAACAGAGTAGCTCAACGCCCTTCAACAGAGTAGCTCAACGCCCTTCAACAGAGTAGCTCAACGCCCTTCAACAGAGTAGCTCAACGCCCTTCAACAGAGTAGCTCAAGGCCCTTCCATTGAAGCGACGGTAAACAAACATCTCTCAAGCTCCTTGTATTGTTTTTTAAATTGTAGGTGTAACATGGAAAACAAATTGTCCTGTTATTTCATTACCAGGTCATACTGTGAAGAAGCCATCTAGGCTATGTCATTTGTTGTCATTATATCCAGAATATTTCATAGTAATAGTGTTGGGTGTTGAGCAATAGTCTATCCTACACAGTTGTGCACAGTAGACTCTGTGTCCAATCCAAGGCACTAAAACATAAGAAAACATGAAGTCATTACCTTGATGCTTTCTCTGTTGAATCTAACGAGATCCTGCTGTAAATCGAGCAGACAACACCAAATTATCAACATCAATTCGCTAGGGATATTAGATCCAATGTGGATCCAGGCACAACTGTCTTCACCGGTGTGCACATATTGAGACACCAAAATATTCCTGACATTCCTCAAACACCTTTTTCCCAGCGCTTGGCCTGTTGCTCCGCATGCACAATCACATCAGCTGTTCGTCATTTGACTGTCATTCGGAAAATTCCTTGCTGAAATCAGATGTGTGAAAATATCACCGCGTAATTAATCAGCTGGACACCAAATGCACATCCGACAAGTATTATGCATAATTATTGAAGAACCCACGTTAATGAAAGTATCGATGTAGGTTTTAAGTATCAAGGTAAGGTGACTCTTGCCGTTAGAAGCATTCCATTTATTTGTGTGTCCATAAAAACCGTATTAACATAAGAAAACACTAAATGTTACACTGCATTTCTGAGATCTCTATACAAAAACTGTCCAACAGCTAGATACAGGGATCAAGTTCAATGTCTAATTTAAGATGATTTTAATTCTTAATATGATATAACGTCAATTTACACTGCCAAATATTCAAGGTCAGAAAAGTAATGTTTTATGTCACACGATTTTGGACAAATCCGTCAAGACACCAACCATGATAAAGGGTTAAACAGGTTTTAAATCATCATGTTGTTCATTATAGATAGCTATGATGTTATTGATTATGATCCCCCCCCATCTTCATGTAATGACATTAAAACAAGTTGTCAAGGAAATCCTCACTGGTGCCCTAGGTTATAGAAAGACCATATATACCGTGCGTACGGAAAGTTTTCAGACCCCTTGACTTTTTCCACATTTTGTTTCGTTACAGCCTTATTCTAAAATGGATTAAGTATATATTTTTTTTTCTCATCAATCGACAAACATTACCCTATAATGACAAAGCAAAAACAGGTTTTTAGAAATGTTTGCACATTTATATATAAAAAAAGAAAAAAACTGAAATCAATTTTACATAAGTATTCAGACCCTTTACTCGTTACTTTGTTGAAGCACCTTTGGCAGCGATTACAGTCTCGAGTCTTCTTGGGTATGACGCTACAAGCTTGGCACACCTGTATTTGGGGAGTTTTTCCCATTCTTCTCTGCAGATCCTCTCAAGTTCTTTCAGGGTAGATGGGGAGCGTCGCTACACAGCTATTTTCAGGTCTCTCCAGAGATGTTCGATCAGGTTCAAGTCTGGGCTCTGGCTGGGCCACTCAAGGACATTCAGAGACTTGTCCCGAAGCCACTCCTGCGTTGTCTTGTGCTTAGGGTCGTTGTCCTGTTGGAAGGTGAACCTTTGCCCCAGTTTGAGGTCCTGAGCGCTCTGGAGCAGGTTTTCATTAAGTATCTCTCTGTTCTTTGCTCTGTTCCTTTCCCTCGATCCTGAGTAGTCTCCCAGTCCCTGCCACTGAAAAACATCCCCACAGCATGATGCTGCCACCACCATGCTTCACCGTAGGGATGGTGCCAGGTTGCCTCCCGATGTGACGCTTGGCATTCAGGCCAAAGAGTTCAATCTTGGTTTCATCAGACCAGAGAATCTTGTTTCTCATGGTCAGAGTCCTTTAGGTGCCTTTTGGCAAACTCCAAGCGGGCTGTCATGTGCCTTTTTACTGAAGAGTGGCTTCCGTCTGGCCACTCTACCATAAAGGCCTGAATGGTGGAGTGCTGCAGAGATGTTGTCCTTCTGGAAGGTTCTCCCATCTCCACAGAGGAACTCTGGAGCTCTGTCAGAGTGACCATCGGGTTCTTGGTCACCTCCCTGACCAAGGCCCTTCTCCCCTGATTGCTCAGTTTGGCCGGGCGGCCAGCTCTAGGAAGAGTCTTGGTGGTTCCAAACCTCTTCCATTTAAGAATGATGGAGGCCACTGTGCTCTTGGGGACCTTGAATGCTGCAGAATGTTTTGGTACCCTTCCCCAGATCTGTGCCTCGACACAATCCTGTCTCGGAGCTCTACGGACAATTCCTTCGACCTCATGGCTTGGTTTTTGCTCTGACATGCACTGTCAACTGTGGGACCTTTTATATAGACAGGTGTGTACCTTTTCCAAATCATGTCCAATCAATTGAATTTACCACAGGTGGACTCCAAGTTGTAGAAACATCTCAAGGATGATCAATGGAAACAGGATGCACCTGAGCTCAATTTCGAGTCTCATAGCAAAGGGTCTGAAGACTTATGTAAATAAGGTATTTCTGTTTTTTATTTTTAATACATTTGCAAACATTTCTAAAAACCTGTTTTTGCTTTGACATTATGGGGTATTGTGTGTAGATTGATGAGGGGAAAAATGTATTTAATCAATTTTAGAAAAAGGCTGTAACATAACAATGTGTAAAAAGTCAAGGGGTCTGAATACTTTCAGAATAAACTGTATTCTCTGTATATTCTGTTAATTGTTGTCAGCGCCATTCCACCAGGTCAAATTCCTGGTCCATGTAAAATGTACTTGGTGATTCTGATTCTAAAGGAGCGGGGTGGCTGCTACCAGGACAGCCGTAGCATCAACTCCGACAGCCTCAGTGTCCAGGGAGGGGCCTCGGCCCGCCAGAGCAGCCCAGGAGGAGAGAGGTTTCTGGGCCGATCCACCAAGGCCAAGGGGGGCGACAGCAGCCAGACCCGGGACTCCTGCGACTTCTCCAACTGCAGCGACGACAACACCGAGGCGGACGACAACACGGAGGAGTATAACAGCAACCTGTTCGATATCGTCTGCGAGTCCTCAGCCACGACGGACGAGGATGGAGACATGGACTACGAGCCTCATCACAGACCCAGGAAGAGGGGTCCCCCTGGGGGGTCTGAGTCGGTGAAGAGGATTAAGCAGGAGACTGCTGAGGACACAGGGCCTATAGCCCAGCTAGCAGCAGCACCAGCAGTCTCCCAGTCCCCAAAGCCTGATAACTCCCACCATGCCTTGCCACACAAACCCTCCCAGCTGGACACTTTGGTTGGTGGTGTGTCGTCGTCTCTGCTGGGAGGGCGCTCCTTTCCTCAAAAACCTCTCTCCAGCTCTGTCTCCAAACCTCCCATGATGAGCACTGGTTCTCCCAGACACCACGACCCGTCCTCGTTGTCGACCCAGGCCCTGAGCACCCTCCCTGGGGCAGGTAGTGAGTTGATGGAGGGTTTGGCCCCGGAGGACCTGCTGAAGCCTGGAGGATCCGAGGGGCCGTTTGGGTACCTGACTCCCTCCTCCCCCAGTGGGATGAAAGCTGAACTGGACCTCCTGGGAGCAGAGACCAAAGGAGAGGCTACAGGTACAGTTAACATCCCTCTTTCTAACTCCCTGTAACGTCTCTCTCTCTCCATCCCTCTCCCTCCCTCCAACTGCTCTCCCTCCCTCCAACTGCTCTCCCTCCCTCCAACTGCTCTCCCTCCCTCCAACTGCTCTCTCTCCCTCCAACTGCTCTCTCTCCCTCCAACTGCTCTCCCTCCCTCCAACTGCTCTCCCTCCCTCCAACTGCTCTCTCTCCCTCCAACTGCTCTCTCTCCCTCCAACTGCTCTCTCTCCCTCCAACTGCTCTCCCTCCCTCTGTTAACTGCTCTCTCTCCCTCTCATTAACGGCACTCTCCCTCTCTAACATCTTTCACTCCATCTCTGTCTCGCTCTCACTCCATCCCTCTCTCTCTCAAATTCAATTCAATTCAAGGGCTTTATTGGCATGGGAAACGTGTGTTAACATTGCCAAAGCAAGTGAAGTAGATAATAAACAAAAGTGAAATAATTAATAAATATTAACAGTAAACATTACAACAGTTCCAAAAGAATAAAGACATTTCAAATGTCATATTATCTCTATATACAGTGTTGTAATGATGTGAAAATACTTAAAGTACAAAGGGAAAATAAATCAACATAAATATGGGTTGTATTTACAATGGTGTTTGTTCTTCACTGGTTGCCCTTTTCTTGTGGCAACAGGTCACAAATCTTGCAGCTGTGATGGCACACTGTGGTTTTTCACCCAGTAGATATGGGAGTTTATCAAAATTGGGTTTGTTTTCTAATTCTTTGTGGATCTCTGTAATCTGAGGGAAATATGTGTCTCTAATATGGTCATACATTTGGCAGGAAGTTAGGAAGTGCAGCTCAGTTTCCACCTCATTTTGTGGGCAGTGTGCACATAGGCAGACCTGGCTCTCAAGAGAAGACAGGCTAAGGCGGCCTTTCTCAATAGCAAGGCTATGCTCACTGAGTCTGTACATAGTAAAAGCTTTCCTCTCTCTCTCTCACTGCGCTCTCTCGCTCTCTCTCTCATGCCGCCCTTCTATCACTGCACTCTCTCAACTGCGCTCTCTCGCTCTCTCTCACTGCGCTCTCTCGCTTCTCTCTCAATGCGCGCTCTAGCTCTCTCTCACTGCGCTCTTCACTTGCTCTCGCTCTCTCACTGCGCCTCTCTCGCTCTCTCTCTCACTGCGCCCTCTCGCTCTCTCTCTCACTGCGCTCTCTCGCTCTCTCTCTCGCGCTCTCACTGCCCGCTCTCTCGCACTCTCTCTCTCACTTGCGCTCTCTCGCTCTCTCTCATGTGCTCTCTCTCTCACTTGCGCGCTCCGCCTCCTCTCACTGTGCTCTCTCTCTCACTGCAATCTCTCGCTCTCTCTCACTGCTCTCTCTCACTGCGCTCTCTCTCACTGCGCTCTCTCTCACTGCGCTCTCTCTCACTTCTCTCTCTCACTGCGATCTCTCTCTCTCTCTCACGGCGCTCTCCTCTCTCTCTCACTGCGCTCTCTCGCTCTCTCTCACTGCGCTCTCACTGCACTCTCTCGCTCTCTCTCTCGCTGCACGCTCTCGCTCTCGCTCACTGTGCTCTCTCTCTAACTGCTCTCTCTCTCACTGCAATCTCTCGCTCTCTTCTCAATGGCTCTCTCGCTCTCTCCACACTGCGCTCTTCGCTCTCTCTCCACTGCGCTCTCTCGCTCTCTCTCACTGCGCTCTCTCGCTCTCTTCTCTCACTGCGCTCTCTCTTCACTGCCGCTCTCTCTCTACTGCGCTCTCTCACTGCGCTCTCTCGCCCTCTCTCACTGCGCTCTTCCCACTGCGCTCTCGCCTCTCTCTCACTTCGCTCTCTCGCTCTCTCTTCACTGCGCTCTCTCGCTCTCTCTCTCACTTGCGCTCTCTCCTTTCTCTCTCTTACTGCGCTCTCTCGCTCTCTTCATGCCGCTCTCTCGCTCTCTCTTCGCTCTCTCACGCGCTCTACTGCGCTCTCTCGGCTTCTCTCGCTCTCTCTCTTCACTGCGCTCTCTCGCTTCTTCACTTGTGCTCGCTCTTCTCACTGCGCTCTCTCGCTCTCTCACTGTGCTCTCTCTCTCACTGCAAATCTCTCGCTCTCTCTACTGCGCTTCTCTCACCTGGCTCTCTCGCTCTCTCACTGCGCTCTCACTGCGCTCTCTCGCTCTCTCTCCACTGCGCTCTCTCGCTCCTCTCACTGCGCTCTCTCCTCACTGCGCCTCTCCTCTCACGCTCTCTCGTGGCTCTCTCGTCCGCTCTCTCACTGCGCTATCTCTCACTGCGCTCTCTCTCACTGCGCTCTCTCTCACTGAGCTTCTCTCACTGCATCGCTCACTCGCTCTCTCGCTCTCTACTCACTGCGTCTCTCGCTCTCCTCTCACTGCGCTCTCTCTCAGCGCTTCGCTCTCTCTCACTGCGCTCTTTCGCTCTCTCTCACTGCCGGCTCTCTCTCACTGCGCTCTCTCTCTCACTGCGCTCTCTCTCTCACTGCCGCTCCCTTCCTCAATGCGCTCTCTCTCATTCTCTCTCTCACTGCGATATCTTCGCTCTCTCTTCACTGCGCTTCTTCTCTCTCTCTCTCTCACTGCGCTCTCACTGCCTCTCTCGCTCTCTCTCTCACTGCACCTCTCGCTCTCTCTTCACTGCCCCCCTGCGCTCCTCTCGCTCTCTCTCTCGCTGCGGCTCTCTCGCTCTCTTCACTTGTGCTTCCTCTCTCTCATGCTCTCTCTCTCACTGCCATCTCTCTGCTCTCTCTCACTGCGCTCTCCGCTCTCTCACACTGCGCTTCTCCGCTCTCTCTCTCACGCGCTCTCTCGCTCTCTCTCCTGCGCTCTCTCGCTCTCTCTCACTGCGCTCTCTCGCTCTCTCTCTCATGCGCTCTCCTCTCACTGCGCTCTCTTCTCACTGCGCCCTCTCTCACTGCACTCTTTCTCACTGCCGCTCTTCTCGCTCTCTCCACTGCGCTCTCTCGCTCTCTCTCACTCGCGCTCTCTCGCTTCTCCACTGCGCTCTCTCACCTGCGCTCTCTCTCTCACTGCGCTCTCTCGCTCTCTCTCTCACTGCGCTCTCTCGCTCTCTCTCACTGCCGCTCTCTCGCTCTCTCTCTCGCGCTCTCCTGCACTCTATCATCTGCTCTCTCTCGCTCTCTCTCCCTGCGCTCTCCGCTCTCTCTCACTGCCGCTCTTCTCGCGCTCTCTCACTTCGCTCTCTCGCGGGCTCTCTCACATGCGCTCTCTCGCTCTCTCTCACTGCGCTTCTCGCTCTCTCTCTTACTGCGCTCTCTCGCTCTTCTCTCTAACTTCGCTCTCTCCTCTCTCTCTCTCTCAGCGCTCTTCTCCGCTCTCTCCCATGCGGCTCTCTTCGCTCTCTCTCTCACTGCGCTCTCTCTCACTGCTCCTCTCACTGCGCTCTCTCGCTTCTCTCACTCGCTCCTCGCTCCTCTCTCACTGCGCTCTCTATAACTGCGCTCTTCTCACTGCGCTCTCTCGTGCGTCTCTCGTGCGCTCTCTCACTGCGCTCTCTCTCACTGCGCTCTCTCTCACTGCGCTTTCTCTCACTGCACTCTCTCACTGCGCTCTCTCGCTCTCTCTCACTGCGCTCTCTCGCTCTCTTCTTCACGACGCTCTCTCGCGTCTCTCTCACTGCGCTCTCCTCCACTGCGCTCTCCGCTCTCTCTCTCAACTGCGCTCTCTCGCTCTCTATCTCCTGCGCTCTCTCGCTCTCTCTCTCACTGCGCTCTCTCGCTCTCTCTCTCACGACGCTCTATCGCTCTCTCTCACTGCCGCTCTCTCGCTTCTCCTATCTCACTGCGCTCTCTCTCACTGCTCTCTCTCACTGCGCTCGCTCGCTCTCGCTCACTGCGCTCTCTCGCTCTCTCTCACTTCGCTCTCTCTCACTGCGCTCTCTCGCTCTCTCTCTCACTGCGCTCTCTCTATCACTGCGCTCTCTCTCTCACTGCGCTCTCTCGCTCTCTCTCTCCTGTGCTCTCTCGCTCGCTCTCTCACTGCGCTCTCTCTCACTGTGCTCTCTCGCTCTCTCTCACTGCGCTCTCTCTCACTGCGCTCTCTCACTGCGCGCTCTCTCTCACTGCGCTCTCTCGCTCCCTCTCTCACTGCGCTCTCTCGCTCACTCTCACTGCGCTCTCTCTCTCCCTGCGCTCTCTCGCTCTCTCTCTCACTGCGCTCTCTCGCTCTCTCTCTCACTGCGCTCTCTCGCTCTCTCTCTCACTGCGCTCTCTCGCTCTCTCTCTCACTGTGCTCTCTCTCACTGTGCTCTCTCGCTCTCTCTCACTGCGCTCTTTCTCTCACTGCGCTCTCTCTCTCACTGCGCTCTCTCTCACTGCGCTCTCTCTCACTGCAATCTCTCTCTCACTTCGCTCTCTCTCACTGCGCTCTCTCGCTCTCTCTCTCACTGTGCTCTCTCGCTCTCTCTCACTGCGCTCTCTCGCTCTCTCTAACTGTGCTCTCTCGCTCTCTCTCTGGTCTACTCCTCTCTCTCACTGCGCTCTCTCGCTCTCTCTCACTGCGCTCTCTTCACTGAGCTCTCCCTTCTCTCACTGCGCTTCTCCCTCTCTCAAGCGCTCTTCCGTCTCTCCTCACGGCTGCGTCTCTCGCTCTCTCTCACTTGCGCTCCTTCGCTCTCTCTCACTGCGCTCGCTCTCTCTCACTGCCCGCTCGGCTTCTCCGCTCTCTCTCTTCACTGCGCTCTCTAGCGCTCTCTCTCACTGCGCTCTCTCTCTCTCACTGCGCTCTCTCGCTCGCTCTCTCTAACTGCTCGCTCGCTCTCTCTAACTGCTCGCTCGCTCTCTCTAACTGCTCGCTCGCTCTCTAACTGCTCTCGCTCGCTCTCTCTAACTGCTCGCTCGCTCTCTCTAACTGCTCTCGCTCGCTCTCTCTAACTGCTCTCGCTCGCTCTCTCTAACTGCTCTCGCTCGCTCTCTCTAACTGCTCTCGCTCGCTCTCTCTAACTGCTCTCGCTCTCTCTCACTGCTCGCTCTCTCTCACTGCGCTCGCTCTCTCGCTCTCTCTCTCGCTCTCTCGCTCTCTCTCTCACTGCGCTCTCTC